TCCACCTCATCACGCTTGCCAATAACGAGCTCAAGTCCCTCACCAGCAAGTTCATGACCACGTTCTGTCAGCTCCGAGGTAAGCCTGGTCAGCTCAGGCCAGTGGGACACCGCTAGCCATCATCCTTCAGGCTCTGAGCCTATTGGGGAGTGAACCAGGGCCAGTCCCTGGTCAGCTGAACCCGGGAAGTCATTCTCAGGGAGAGGCTTTGGGAGTAGACCTGTGTCCTCCCTGCAGCCTGGAAATCTCTGTGTCACTCCTGCTTCTAGCTCGCTGTGAATCAGATTGACTAATGGTCCAGGGTGTGGGTCCTGGAGTGATTCTCTTGTTCTGAACAGACCAGTGGGGCGTTTGAGGTCCTGAGGCCCAGGGGTAGTTTCTCGGTGGACTTGAACGAGCCCCCCAGTCTAGCATTGTCTTCCTGTACTGCTTTCTCAGTTCAGTAGTAACAGTTGCCAAGAATGACAGTGTTTCCTCTGCTGGGCACACACAGAACAAGTGGACACGGGTGCTTGGCAGGAAGATGAGCAGAAGGCCAGCAGGTGGGCATTATAAATTCTTTTGAAATGGTTTGTCCAGATAGACAATCAGGATGTAATGGCCACTGTAGTGCCTATTCCCCTCTCCACAGAGCAGTCCCTCCTCCATCCTTCTGTGAGAATCCAGTGCTGCTCAGAGACCCGTGGGATGGAGCTGCAACCTGGGCCCTCAGCATGTGTTTGCAAAGTGGTGGGGCAGGAGAGTTGGGGAGAGCACAGGAGGCATAGCCTTCCTGCCTTCTGGAATTCTCTATCTGATAGAGATATGAAAAGGGTCTCAGAACGTGTTTAGAGAAATCAATATGTAAAATGCTGATGGAACAGGAAGAACTCAAGCAAGCATATCTCATACAGCTGATTTTAGGTTTCCTAGAGGAGATGTGGGCATTGGGCAGAGAGCCCAGAGGGGAGAGAGAGATGTGAATTGGCAAACCTGGTCCAGGGACAGAAAGTAGTTTATACAACGTCTCAGGAGGGAGCTACAGTTAGGACCTGGAAAGACTACTGGCTAGGTACAAACACAAGGACAGAGAGGAGGGATTGGTCTGTGTAGTCATTTCTGAATGAAGCTCACAGAGCTCGTTGCATTTGTGCTTAAAAAGCTAAAAGTACTTATGACTGGGGTTGAGGGGGTGAGGGGGATTCTAAGGCAAGACTGGTCTTCACAGAGGTGCCCTTGAGCATTTTTAACCTGGCCTGCTTTCCCATTCTTCCTTTTCTGGTGGTTGCTTCTTTACACAGGTTAGATGGGTTCTCATAGCCAGTAGGCCCCTGGACCAGCAGCTCTCAGCCCCAGCTGAAACTAGAATCATCTGAGAAGCATTTCTACAAACACAGTTGCCTTCAACTCTACCCCACACCAGAGGAATCAGAATGTCTGAGTGTAGGCCTGGGCCTAAGCATCTGTTAAAGTCCATGTTAGTCATTCTAAACCTTGCCAGTAGCCAAGGTTTAGACCATAGTTCAGGTTTATAAGCACAAATACCTGAGAGACTAGCATGTAAGTAACAAATGACTCAAATTGGACAGATGACAAAAGGGTGTGGTGGGGACTTTGGCAAACTAGAACATGTCTGCTCAGCTTCTGCCAGATGTGCCACAAGATTGTTCTAATTGTTTTATTCAATTGAAGCTGGAAAAATGGATTTTTATGTGGATTTTACCAATTTTTACATAGTATAAAAGTGATAAAACATTAGGTTTAGTCTATGGGCCACCAGTTAGAGACTCTCCCATAAAATATTAGCGCTGTCTCTGCCACCTCATTGCATGGATGTAGAAAGAAGGGTGGAGAGAGAAAGGATTTGTCTGGGGTTCAGAGCAGTATACCCTGATTGCCCATGACGCAGGCCACAGCTGCCTTTCTAGGCCACCTGCCTTTCAGGAATCCCCGAGAGCTGTATCCAGCCAATTGGAATTGGGTGTTTGCTTTCTAGAGGAGGATAGAAATATAGAAAATGGTGGAGGTTGGCTAGGGATCCTGGGACCATTTGTGCTTTTCTTTATTCGACCTTCCCTTGAGCACCATCCCTGTTCCAGACCTATGTCTGGATCCCTGGAAACGAAGGTCAGTAGACTAGGCTTCTCCCTGAAGGAGTCCAGGGTTACGAAACAGTCTCCAAGTGCTGAGATACTGGTGTAGGCAAAACGCTGGGACTGCTGGGAAGAAGAACGAATGCTCCCCGAGAGTGGCATGGGCAGTGGAGTGGGTGTGGAAGCAAGGGTTTTCGAAGGATTTGACATTTGACAGTGCCTTGTGGGTTGAGTAAGCGGGCCCTCTCTAGGAGCACCATGAGAGTGTCGGAGAATTGTGTTTAGAGCCACATGCATTCATGCCTCAGCTGTGGAAAATATATTTGTCATAATATATTACCAATCAGAAGTCTGTTGAAGGATGCAGTTTGAACTCCCTCTTGTGCTGCCTGTGGCTCCTTGACGGCCCCTCGTACCTCTGATGACAAAAGGTAGGCTGTGGTGTGCCCAGTAATTGGATTTCACAGAGATGGCTCTGGGCCCCAGCCTTTGTTGTGGTTTCTCTTCCAGACAGAAAAACCCTCTCCTTTTATGTGTGAAGAGGAGGCTTGGATAGGCTTTTCGCGCTCCTTACAGCCTGCTAGCATCTTCTTGGTTCTTGACAGAGGAGCGGGGCTGCCTTGGTGCTGGGAAGAGAGGCATCTGTGTACCCCCTGCCTGCCTTGGTGCTGGGAAGAGAGGCATCTGTGTACCCCCTGGTGCTGAGAAGAGAGGCATCTGTGTAACCCCTGCCTGTCTCCTATGAGTGCCCTGGGGACTGTCTCCTGCAAGGCTTATGGCCGCCTCAGATCTGGGTCGTCTTTAAATGATTCCAGCTCCTTGATGTCCTTCACCCATTTTATGTCAAGTCGAAGCAAAACCTGAGAAGAATGATGGCACAAGTGGAATTAGTCCAAGCCCAGGTGGATCTGGCTGTGGTTCTTCTGTCCCCTCTTCACCTGTGTTCCTGTCTCCCCATTTCCTCCCAATGCGAGTCATTCAGCTCTTTTTAATGAGTGTGTCCTGGGCCTGCCAGGCCAGAGGCATATGAGACATACCTGCAGAAAACAATGAAAACCACACAAATGAGAACTGGCGGGTTCTATTTATTCAGAGTTGCACCAGCAAGGGAGTCAGCCAGTGTGCTTGCATTTGGCAGAGACTCAAAGGCACGCAGAAGAGTGAGAAAGCTTTATAGTGAATGATGGAGAGGCGTCAGGTGTGCTCTGATTGGAGGCTGTTAGCCTAGGGAAGCTTGAGGCAGTCCAGCTAGCAGCAGGACGTGCTATGTGATTGGTTAAGGTGTATATTTGGCTTTCTCCAGTTGGTGCTAAGTTGGAAGTGGGGACAAAAATTAGGGAAACTGTCAGCAATCAAGTTCTGGCCATATGGGGTCCATTGTTACAGGGAGTTTTGTTTGGTTTCCTGAATTATTGGTAGAGACAGCAGTCTGACTCCTCACACGTCTGAATTACAGCTAACTAGCTTCCTAGGCTGGTTACTATACCTTATGGGCTGGTTTCCTTGGCAGGTTGCTGCAGGTTGTGGGTTGGAGTTCTATTTTTGTAGTTGGTCTGGCAATTGTCTGTGTGTATATTCAGACTCTCACAGTTGAAGTGCCTTTCAACTCACTTCAGCAGTTCCTCATGAGTATCTGTTCTGGGAACGGCCATGGGCATGAACACAGAGCCCCAATTCACTAGGTGCTTAGCCTTCCCAGCTCCATGATGAGGATTTTTTTTTTTTTTTTAATGCATCTCAGTCCTTCCCAAAAGCATCCCGCATTTGGGAAGGATATGAAAACTAACACCTAGACCTGGTCCTTGAGGAGCCCACGATCTCTCAGGGGAGGCAAGTGTATAAGCAGATAGCCACCTTATAATGTGAGAGGTGACACAGCAGACATTTACTCAAAGTCCTATGTTCTTCCCTCACTTCCTACTTTGCTCCAGCCCACTGGGTTACTTTTCTTTGGCTGATGGCACTTAGTAGATGAAGGGAGAGAGAGAAGTGTGGTGCTGGGAAAGTCGGGCAGATGTTGAGCTTTGCAGTTGTCACTTGGATGCTGACTTCTTGGTTTTAGTCTGGGATCAGGCAGAAGATCTACTCTGATGGGTACACGTTTTCTGACTCCTTCAGCACAGCCTGCCACTGGAATAGCCAGGTCTGGGAGGGTCCGTCTCACCTGAGTTATCCACGAGGGTAGCTGCTAGTTGCTGATGGTCAAGAGTTTCTACCTGATGCTGAGACAGTGATGAAGCTGTAGCCTTCTGCATCAGTTTTTATCATCAGTCCTCAAGGGCACTGGCCCCTGGAGTTACTTGGCTGACCTTGGTGGGGCAAAGGCCAAGTTGTTCATAACCCCTGCGTGTATGCTTGAGGTCCGTGGGTCAGCCCTCCCTAGCAGAGAATTAAAGGAATTTAAAGTGTTATGGCCTTCAGCTTCCTTCAGCTAGAATCCCAGAGATAGGACTGCCAAGGCCAGCGGAGATGAGCATTTCAAATTCGTTGGTGTACACTATGAAGTTATCAAGCACTGATGTCACCCTGAGCCTGGGACCCACCAAGAGGTAAGGAGCAGCCCTCCCTGTGGTCATTCTGAACCTAGACCCACAAGGTGAGAGGCTGGGTCATTTGGTGTTTGGAGCACAGATACCGAGTTCGAGCCCAGTTCTAGGGCACATCTTCCCTTCACCCTTGGGATCCACTCTCCATGCTGATCCTAGTTTTCTCTCACCCTTGGCTGTGGTTATCTTCATCCATTGAGGATCCCAGCAGGAGATCAGGGAAGGAGAGGAGAATAAGATCAGTGAATTCATTCTCCTGGCTACCTCCCTTGAGGTCCACCTCCGGCTGGCTGTGCCCCTCATTTGGAGGGCACTTCTCTCAAGGAAGCCTGTACACAACTGTCCTTATAGGTGTCGTCTGGTTGGTGACAGCTCCCTGCTTCTAACCCTGAGTTACTGCAGGATCCTTTGAGGTTCTCATAGGGCTTCCCATATCTTTGTAAATACTTTGTTGCAAATA